CTCTTAGACACAGAAATAAATCATGACACGTCTGTGCACTGGACGTTAGATGAACTTCATGCACGTCATCTTGATTTCCAGAGCGGATTCATATGTAATTTTTTCAAATTCAGTCTTCGTCCGTCCGGATTTGTTTCTGAACCCCGTGAACCAGATCTGTTCATTCTCTGCATATGACTAGTACTTTATCTGGGACATATGCACATGCGGTGGTTTACTGATTCAATCCAAGATGGCTGAGTGGCAGCTGTATTTTTGAAAAATGTAGTATCTTACGCTCGTATTCATGCTTTTGTTCAACGTTGGTAAATCTATTATATATGTTAGGATATATGTCTACGACGATTCGTTTCTCGTCGGATCAAATATGGCCAACTAGCAGCCATCTTGTTTGTTTTTTTCATTCTAAATTGTTACATTGTACATTACAGATTACATGTACATGACAATTTGTTTTACAATCTGCGGCCACCTTGCTTTTTGGCCATACTTCTTTCTCCAAAGCTTGGGGATCATTTTCATTCTTATTTGGCACATACAACGTTCATTGCAATACGTGTTCATACCAGTTTGTTCTATAATATTATCAAAGATGGGCGACTGGTGGTCATCTTGCTTTTTGTCCATAATATTATATCTCCAAGACTAACGGACCAGTTTCATTCATATCAAGCACATCATATATATTGGAATACATGTCCATGTCAGTTTGTTTACTGTGGAGTGCTTTATTTTCGCTTGGAATAAATTTTCGCCATTTTCGCTGAGGAGTGGTTCAGTGAAAATAAAATCCAGCATATATACATATTTTCCTATATTTTACATCCAACTCGTCAAAAATCAGTGAAATTAAATTCCATGAAAAACACACAAAAAGTCTTTTAATCCAGCTAAAATAAAGTATTTTACAGTAATAAGCAGATCATAGATGGCTATCTGATGGCCATCTTGCTTTTTGACTCCACTACTATATCTCCAAGGCTTTTGGACCATTTTCATTCATATTTGGAACATACATCTTTGTTGTGTTTTTTTCGAGACCAGATTGTCATTTTTCGTTTTAATTGTGTACAAACATTAGTGAGATGCATGTCCATGATGATTCATTTCCAGTCACTGTACAGCAAACCAATGCCCTCTGCGTTGACTCGCAAGACGAAAACAAAAAGTACACAGTATAGTCACTGATAAAACATACAGAGCATATACAAAAATATTTTCATATTCATCGGAAACAGTTCTTATCTACATATATTTAAATATATTATATATAATCGAGTTTATTTTACAATATTTCCGTTTAAAGTAAGTAAGTACGTAAGACATCATCTTTATCATCACAATTAAACTGGACGTTTATATCTGTAGGCGATTGATGTTCCATGGTGCCCGCACACTATTCCGAAAGTGATCTGTTAGTATGTGAAATTTACGGAAATACATAACTGTTGTGAGCTCCATTGAACATTTGCTACTGAATAATTGCTGAGGTCAGAACAACTGGAACGAATCGATGAAACAACGTGACGTGAGACAATTCACCGTGAAGCGTAAGTAATGTGTTGATGTGCATCCGTGAGTATATAAAGTGCCGCACCCGTAGTTTTGCGTTCTTTCGAGATACGCATGTGACATAGACAGTAAAAATAAAATCTGAACACGTGTGCAGCGCATTGTGGGAGATGACCTGTTATTGTATATAATGGGAAATCTCCTTGGAAACTCAGTAAGTTATATTTCATTTTGGGGGGAATGTTAGATTACATATCATATACTCGAATTGTTCACCCCCTGTCACCGAACAAAATTGTGAGATATGAATAAATAGTCAATTTTGACCATTTTCTATGAAATTAAGAGAGAATGATATCTTACGACTATTGCTTTAATCAACAGGGAATGATATCTTACCACTATTGCTTTAATTGACAGGGAATGATATCTTACGACTATTGCTTTAATTAACAGAGAATGATATCTTACGACTATTGCTTTAATTAACAGAGAATGGTATATTACGACTATTGCTTTAATTAACAGTGAATGATATCTTACGA